TTCYCAGACTCTCACCCTGACTCTGCACACCCTCCTGTCTCCCATTCTTGCAGTACTACAGATTGGACCTCGAATCCCCTTGCCYGGCCCTACTATAACATCCACCTTTCCTTTCTCCTTCTCATCTCGTGCCCACGCCGTTTTCATTGGTCCTGATGCCGGTGACAGAACAACTGTCAAGGGCTCTCACTCCCTAGCAGCACTCCCCAGTTTCTCCATCTGCAGTGTCTGTGTGTACATCAGTGTTCCAGGATTTTTCACATATTCTATTTCATTTTATCTTTGAAATGTAAATTGGGTGGGATGAAAACAAAATTTGTATCTTATAAACTGTACACTGAGTATCGTGTAGCTTAAGTGATCTCATCACCCAGGTTTCCAAAGCTCCTCAGAATGGAAATAAAAACTTGGGGCTTTTAATTCTTACTTCAGTATCTCATGAGGCACAATTGTATAATAGGGACCATGGATTTTGAGACAGATATTTCTGGGATTTGAATCTCACTGCCATTGCTAATTGTGAGCTGTGAGATCCTAGATTAGTTACTTAACCTCCCTGAGCTAAAATGTGAAAATCCCAAGAAATATTTCAGTCAATCAGTAAAGAAACTTCCTAGAAAGAAATGGTAATACACCTATCTAGTTTTAGGTCATTATTTGGATTCAGATGGGCATCCTAAATCCAGGATCTCAGGGAGAATAAAAGCAATTATAACAAGACAAAATAAAACAGGCTCTTGATACTCAGGTGGGRAACTGCCAAAAAAGCACCTCATACATTTTTAAGCATTCTCTGTTACTATTCTAAACAGTGTTCTGTTTTGAGCGCCTAGCAGTTTTTTCCTGGTTGGAGTTTTTCTTTAACTGAGCATGTTCTTTTTGGCCATGGCAGGATTCCATACTTCAGAGTCACATACTTCAGCGCCATACTTCAGAGTCCTTTCCCTAGACCCCATCTGAGCTTTTCTTGATTGCTCAATTTAGAACTGCCCCCACAACTGTCCATGACACTATACAATTGCCATTCTTTTCCTGTGTCATGAAAGCTTCTCATTTCCTTCAAACTGCTCCACATGACTTTCTGTTTAACCTGCTGAGTGCTACACTGGACACTTGGTAAAGCACTTGCTATGTATTATCTCATCAAATCCTCAACAACCCAGCAAAGCATGTGTTGTTATCCCCACAAGACAGTCAAGGGAAGAATGAGCGGAAGGAGTTCATGGCCAGCTGGAGTCTGACATCTAGGAAGTGACAATTGAAACCAGCTCTGACTCTAAATTCTGAGCTCTTCTTTTCTTTCTTTTTTTTTCTTTCATTCTTTTCTTTCTTTCTTTGGTCTACTTTTTTTTTTCCTTTTTTGAATTATATCCCCAGACATTTTTTTGAGACAGGGCCTCACTCAGTTGCTGAGGCTGGCCTTGAACTTGTGATTCTCCTGCCTCAGCCTCCCAAGTGGCTGGGATTACAGGTGGGTGCAACCAACCTAGCTTCAATTCTGAGCACTTAATAATTCTCTACTCTTGTGCTTCTTTCTGCCATAATATAAAGTACATTTCCTTATGGTGAAAGCAGAACACTAATTAATGCTTTTACTGATTAATTAGCATATACAGAGAAGTGAGCACATGCTATCTGACCAGATGCTGAAGTGATGAACTGTGTCTTTATTTCATCAAAAGTCTATCAGTGCTCTTTCCTACATCAAAAGCTCTTTAAGTATTGGAACTTTGTGCCCATAATGCAGTCTTCCACAACAGCACTTGATAAGTTGGCTTTTATTCTAAACAAGCTAACAAGAAAGTGAAAGCAGTAACAATTACCTGCCTCCTAAGGAGGGACATGAGAGATTTATTTACCTCCCTTGGGATGGTTACTGGGCCACAGGTCACAGATGTCCTGTATCATATCCACCTTCAAACATTTGGTCCTTTTGCCTCATTATCAATCCATAGCCATCAGCCTGTGCTTCTCCATTCTATGTTTATAAAATATACTCATGGTACTTAAAATATCCGTCTATTTTTTAAAAATTGGCCTTAGATTTTGAGGTGTTTTATTTTTTAAACTTCCTCTGAAGGCTTATCTCTCTCAGAACCAGGGAACTTTTTTCATTCACCTTCATGCAAAGCCTCTGAGCCCGTGAACACTCCCCCGAGCAGCTCCTGGGAATCCTGGTGCAGCCACCCTCCAGGTCCCTGTGGTTCCTGCCACCTCCTCCTCCTCCGCAGCCATCTAGCCACTGACTTTCTGATCTTCTTCCTTTCTTATTTTTCCTCTTGCTGCCTCCTTTTTTTAGAAATTCTTAAGGTCAAGAACCAGTTAGATATTACTTAAGGTATTATAAGAAATTACTAAAATCTAAAAATCATTGCCCACCTCCTTATATCCAGGGAAAAAGAAAAGAGATGGAATTTGGGGTGTGGTAGCAGTGTAGAGAGGAGGAAGAGAAGTGACCAGAGTGGGATCTCATCAGAGTGACCTGGAACATCACTTTACTGGAGTCAGTTTTGCCTTTGTACTCTAGAAGGCAGTAGACAATGGGCCTTCTAATTTTTCTTTTTATATTTTTTAAATAAGTGTGGAGGAGAACATGTATGGCCAAGGAACACGAGAGTAGGTCTCATTTAAAGCTATCCATGCACTTTTTTGAAGAAAATGTATCAGAGCTACAAGTTTTAACATCTTAGTCATTTCTCCATTTTCAAATGGACACACCAACCTGCTCTAAACTACAGAAGTTTCTGAATACCATTCTGCTATACAGAAGCTTCTGTATACAATGAGTGCTGCCCCCTTTTACATTCTTGTTAACCCTCTTCTGTAGATATATTCCAGTACTGCATGACTATGAATCAAGTGATGGATTACTTGCAGTGAGATGACATCCCCACAACACCATACAACAGAGGAGAAAGGAGAAGGCAGAAAGGTTTATGAGACCTTCACCAGCCTCATTATTTTTCTTGAAGGGCAAGAGAGCAAGGCCTTTGCAGCCAGAAACCAATGCTAAAGTGTGGCTGCCACTTTCTAGAGATCATTTGGGATGTGTAATTTRACCTCTAAGCCTTGCTTTCCCCATTTCTAAAACAGAAATTAAACAATGACCCTTAGCTCACTGGGTAGTTAAGATTAAATAAGACAATGCATGAAAGTACCTAATATATACTAAATACTCTCACCTAAGGAGGAACCAGGGAAAAAAAGAACCCAATTTCTCCACAGGAGCTGCATCTGAGCTCATAGTTTATATCMATGCCCAGAATTTGCAGGAGGTAGCGAGAGAGCAACCAATCAGCGTAGGCCTAACATTTCCTACTAAGAGAAATAACACAGGTTTGCATGATAATCCAGGTGAGGAAAATAAACTAAGTAAGTTTTACTAGTTGTGTTCTGAAGTATTCAGTTATTTATTATTTTAAAAATTTGGTTTTTATCCATATCAACATTCTTTGGTATAATATTGTGCCCTTAAAAATGCCACTACTAAAATAAAATATAATTTACTAAAGACAGAATGTTTTGAAACAACATCTATCCAAAGTGAAAACCTGATAGGTTTTGCTGCAGTCAGTACATTTTCCATTTATCTTTCTTCCTGTAGCATGGGCTTCTCATGCCAGCACTTGTTTCCTAACATCTGTACCTGTGCTCGCATGCATGTTAGAGTGTCTTTCTCATAATGATGCTGAAGTTTCCCCACTTAGTATTATTTTCAACTTAACCTTTCCCTAGACTGAGCCAGGCATCTCCTCCTGTAGCTGACAGATGGCAGTAGTGGTCATGCAAGGTTATTTTAGTCTCTGCTAAGCAGCTGCAACGGTTGTGGCTGTGCACTGGTCCAACAGCCTGCTCCTGGTGTCTGGTCTAGGTCTGAAGGTGTTTCCAAACATCATTAACCGCACAGCATGTCTTTCAAATACAAAACTAAAGGTAGTTTTGAGAATGATAATAAGTCTAAGATGACCATGCCAAGGTAAAAACAATTTTAAAAATCCAAAGTGATAAAAAAAAAAGCCAAGATAAATGTTACACTTGTGGTGAAATGAATCTCATTCCAAGATATGAATGACTGCAAAGGACAACACCTGTGTGAAAATTCATGTACCTAATCAACATTAGGTACATTAATCAACAAAGCAAGGAAAAATAACTGAGAAATTAAAAAGTGTACGGACAAAACATAACCAAATGMAAAACAAAACACCTTTTCTGTAGTTAGAGACTAAGCACAAATGTCAGATGATATCATTAGACAATCTGATATTGGTGTGGGAGAGACTAGGATTTATTTGAGGGGAGCTTGAACTTGTAATCCTCCTRGGAGCTTTTCAAAATCGTGAAGCCCAGGCCAATCATCAGAATACCTGAGGGCAGGACCCAGACATCAATAGTGTTGAGAGCACTCAGTTRATTCCAATGTGCAACCAAGGCAAATAGCCATTGCTCAAATCTAAGCAGGGGAAAACTCAGTTGCTACTCATTACAGAGATTAAAAGCCTTTGAAATGTGTGGGGACATGTGTGATGAGCATTGGACACCTTCCCTTCCCTATGACATTTGTATCTTCATGGAGAGAAATTACCTGCCTTGGAGAATTTTTCTTTTAATATTTTTGAAACCAGTATGGAGCAGAACATGTATTACCAAGGAAGATGAGAGTCTACCTTATTTTAGAGCTATTTATGTATTTATTTGAAGAAAATATATCGGAGCTAYGAACTTCAACATCTTAGTCATTTCAGTCACTCCATTTACAAATGAACACACAGATTTGCTCTGAACTACAGAAGTTTCTATATACTAGTATCTTTTTCTCACTTTCATCTCCAAACAACTTAGCTAGTTCCTGGTCTATCCATTCACTCGATGGATCCTCATTAATTTCCATCTTTAGCAACCTAGTTTTGCCTTGAAACAAATGCATCCTTTGATCCTCAATACAATCCACCCAACCCTGCCCCTGCCACCAGGGCCCTTCTCTCTGTGGCCCCCTTTACCTTATCCGCCATTATCATAGAGGAGCCCCCGTGGATGCCCAGGATGGGGGTGAGAGTCTGAGCAGAAATGAAGTCGAGGATCTGGGCAATGGCTTCCTGGTCTGTGTCGTCAGCAAACACCACCCCCTGGATCTTCCGGTCCGACATGAGGTCACAGATGCGGGTGATGATGCTCTTGGGGTCGGTCTCATTCATGGCTACCAGCTCCACCCGGGGCACCACTGAGAGATGGTGGAAGTCATCTTTCTCGTGGGCATCCTTGATGGCCACCTCGTCGGAAGTGCCCACGAGGATGACAGCAATGCCGATGCTGGGGGGGCTCTTCTGAGAACGAGCTCTGCTGCCTGACACAGCCAGGACAGCCAGCACCAACCAGAACTTGGGAGAACAGCACTCTGCTCTGGGCTTCATCTTCAACTTGTCGACTCCCTGGAGAACACAAATGGAGAGAATGGTTAAAATATGACCCACACTGCATAACCTGTCTTTGAAGAGGCTGAACCCCACAAGTCAAGGACCTTATCTCCTTCTAGTGATCATCCAACTCAACTTCTATCAACTGCTCAGTCTCTTATCTCTGGTGTTTGCTCGGCAGAATGAGAGAAAAAGGAACTTTCAAAAGCCTCGGAAATCTTCGACACAAAAAAGGATGCTATTGCAAAAGCCATCAGCAGCAAACAGAGACAAAGGAAGAAACGAGGATGGAGTCACTCACACCCAATGCACAGGAGGAGTCTGTGAGGGGGGGGGGGTCTGGCTGTTGCTGATGACTCCTGACATTCTGGGTATAACCCAGCCTCTAACTGATCTAGGCAGAGGCCAGGCCAAGTGAGCAGCAAAATGGGCTCAGCAGAGGCCGCCAACGAAGCATGGCCTGGGTAAGCTGGGYACAGGGAGCTACAGATATGGGAGTCCCACACCCTTGCTGTCTTCGCCTTCTGTTTGCCTCTCGGAGGACAACAGCCATAAAGTGCTCCCACAACCCTTCCAGGAAATGGCTCTTAATATTACATCATAAGAACAACCAATACATGGTCAGTCCTTTGGATTGGTCCTGTCATTTATCCTTTTAAAAACTCAGTGGGGAAAAAAATAAGAGAAATATTATTGTCCCCATTTTATAGATGTTAATGGGAAGTCTCAAAGAAGCAAACTGACCCAAGACTATGAACTGTTTAATAAGTAAAATGATCTTCAACCCAGATCTCCTGACTTTTGTATTCTAATGTGTATTCCATTGTATCCCATCACACTTTCATATCGATTACTATATTATTAAGAACAATACTTTTCTAATCTCTTTATGCATCAAAATATGGTGAGTTTAATGCTATTAATAACTGAAGGGACACTTTGGGACATTTTTCCACTTTTTTTCCTAATGGCATTAGTAGCACTGACTTCCCTGAAATGACTGACTACCTATTTCCATGCAACTCACTACTATTTTCCTACTAAGAACTCCTGCCTCTCTTCTTCTACACATACCCCTAAATCTGACACACTGCCCAGACTAAGGACACAGAGCTCCACAGAATATAGCTACTAGTCATTTCTCTACGAGTCTCATCATTCTCCAAGAGCCCCTCATTTGAGTGGAAAAGTCCTGCACAACACTTCCATTTAAACAGTCTTTTATTGTACATCTGTTACATACCCTGCAMTGTGTTAGGCATTTCCTCATATGCAATCTCTTTGGTCCTCATGGGAACCCTATAAATTAGGCTTTTTATTCCCATTTCTCAAATGAAGAAACTGAAACTCAAAACAATTACATAATTGCCAAGGTCAATGGCATTATAATACCAGAATACCGATCTATAAGCACAGCATTCTAACACTGTAAGGAAATRTCCTACAAACTGCACCTAGAACCAGAAGCAGAGATTCTCATTCTTCTATCTTGAGCSAGGGTACACAAGCCAGGAAGAAGATGCTGCTTCCTATATCCTGTTTATTTGGAAAAGAAGTAAGATACTAATGACCTAAAAACATTTGAGAGTTTGACTAACAAAAAGAAAAAAAAATGATAATAAGGGTGTTGAATAAAGATAGATAAGGAAGTATTCAGACTGAGCGGACTGACTAGAAAGGGTCTTGAGGATCCGAGAGTAAGATGCTGGGGACATTTTGTGGCTGAAGAAGCACAAAATCCAATCCAGCTCTTGGCAGAAAACATTTTGGAACCCTTACTGTTGTAGTCATCTCTCAACACTGCCAAAGAGACCTGCATCGATTGCCTTCTCTCTCTCTCTCTCTCTCTCTCTCTCTCTCTCTCTCTCTCTCTCTCTCTCGACAAGTAGCTCCGTGGCTCACGCTTGAGCAAAGCTTATTCCTGACAGTTTTCTGGCCTCCATGTCTCTGTAGATACAGGGAATGACTCCACCAGTCCTGAAAATCCACACTGATGGGCTGTGCAGTCGAGCAAGAGAACCGGGACCCAGATTCCTCCTCCCAGAGTCTAAAGAAAAGCAACACTATACGGAAAGTTGAGCAGCACTGATTATTCAGAGGAAAACAGTTGGATTTAACACCTCAAAGAGCTGGGTACAAAAAATACATATAATCTGCTTGATTCCAAGGACTGGTTCTCGAGGAGAACCAAAAGATTTAGAATTTGGCAAAACTCGCAGCTAACTTCATTCCAGTGGGATTTTAATCCTACAGTTACAAGTCCCTAAATTAGATTCCTTCACATTTAAAAGTGGTCCACCCTGCTATGACAGTTTATTAACTTTAATGCACTCTACACTCTCCCACTTTAAGGTTTTATTTGCTCTCTTTAAAATATCTCTTGTGTTCCTCTATTTCTTCTCACACAATATATTACACTTTGTTATGCAATGGCTGCTGGTGACACTCAAAGAATAGAATCTGGTTTTACGGAGCATCTCTTTTATGCTCAGGATAGAGCAAAGCACTTCACAAAGCAATACATTATGGGAGATACCAGTGATGGAGAACCTGTGAGACAAACAAAGAGGCCGCTTTGAATACAAACTCAATTCCGAACACTGGAAGGGGGTTTGTGGAAAGAAAGCGCATAGTCCAAGATAAGGAAAGTGACGTTGCTCCCCTGCTCAGACAGACCGTGGTCCAGTCTTGCATCACCTGCTCTCTGAAGCTCCCCCATCCCCACTGCACTTCAGCCTTCCCCTGTAGAACCAAGCATGGCTTCCTCTGAACACTCACCAAAGCCTATGCAAATCTATCTAAATACACATACCACTTTATTATAGTCATACGGTCACGCATCTGCCTACCTTAACTAGTTGATAACCTCCCTGTGAGCAGGACCTTTATGGTTCAGTAAGCATTTATTGAGCAGCTTCTACCCTGCAGACGTTGTTTTTGGTGCTGAGGATGCAACAGACGCAGGTTCTACCCTTCAGGATCGCAGTCTGGCAGAAGATTCAGACACATAGGGAAAGTCTTCTCACTATTTACAGTCTTTGGGGTCTAGTAGTGCCTCATACAATAAATAGGGGGACAGAATAAGTGGAAGCCAATATTTTYTTTCATTAAGTTGGACCATATATAAAATTGTTGATATATGAACATTTTTTTATCTATACTAGTTCAATCTACTGCGTACCACATATGATTTATTGACAAATTTCATACATTTCAAAATCTTCATAAAAATTATAGGTCATTATTTTTCCCTATATTACAAATGAGGAAACTGATTTTCTGATCCCGAGGGGTAGAGTCTATGTCTGTTGCATCCTCAGCACCAAAAGCAATATCTACAGGGYAGTAGGTGCTCAATAAAGGTCTACTGAACAATAAAGGTCCCTACTCACAGGGACGTTATCAACTAGTTAAGGTAGGCAGATGCGTGATTATTTCACTATAATAAACTGTTACATGTATTCAGACAGATATGCATAGTATATGATCAAGATCACACAGCAAATAAAGGATGGTATCAAGTTTCATCCAAGTTTATCTGATTCCAAAATCCTTTCTTTTTTCCATTCTGGGGCCACCTCTCAGTACCAGTGGATATTGAGTGCATGAATGAAATCACCAAACTGGGCTTTCTACCAGACTAACAAAATGCCTGAGGACAAGCAAGTCACCTAATTACCTTCTCTATTTCGTCATCGATGAAATCAGGATAATATCCCTAACCTACATAAATGAAAGGTTTTTGTGAAGATCAAATGATAATATGTATATGGAAGTGCTTTGAAGAATATAAAATACTCCACAGACGCAAAGGATGTTACCTTTAAGCTTTCAGAAGCTGTTCAAGGAGCCTAGCTATTTATGAAAGCACAAAGTGAGCATGTGGGAGGTGGGGGTGAGAGGATGTCAGACAGAGGCTGAGAGGAATATTAAGAGGAACCTCACAGGGGGCAAAAGATATTAGTTCCCTCAGCAATATAACTTTCCTGAAAAAGATGTCACATAATGGCCTCGGGGTAACAACAGACTGACAGCTCACCAATCATGTAGCAGAATTCAAGAGCCATTCAGGCCAGGACCAGAGCTGGAAATCAGTGGAGCTCAGCATACCAGATCATGCTATGAACCGAGGCATTCAGGTGCACAAGCAGAACCGGCCACAAGGCACCCGGATTAGATTGACTATTCATCTACTGACCCTCTGSTTCCTTGAAGAGTGGACTGAGTGACCTCTAGATCTCCAGCAAGCAGAAGGCCACAGCTGCCTATCTTCATGCCTTTAACTGAGGCAGTGTACAGCAGGAAACAGTCTACCCTTGGCTCACAGTGGATTCTAACAGACATACGTCTGGGTGAGAAGCTGCACTAACCTTCTCCCCAGAGAAAACTGAGTCCTGGGGCAACCCCAATAAGAGGAGTAATGAATAATTTTAAGTCAAAGTTCCCAGGCACCATCCTTTAATGAAGTCAGGATGCCATTTGGAGTGACTCAATTAATCATGATTGAAATGTGATAGGCAGAGAGTAAAATTAGGATTAAAAGCACTATAAATATGCTTCAGGTCCAGTTTCCCAAGCTACCAATAAAGACAGAAAGCTAGGAYATACAGGCCTTAAAATGTGTCATAAGAGACAGGGTTGGGGTGTAAGCCAAGTATAAGCCAGGTGAAGTGAGTGATGTAACCCTTTTGGAGGTCAATGTGAGAATATCTATCAACATTTTAATACCAAGACAAAATAAAATTCAAAGGGGACAATGAGAGATGTCATATCCTGGAACCAAAAAAGAYACAATAACTATGAACATATTTGGATCTAAAAATATAGGCTTGACACATATAAAGCAACAACTAAAATTTCCATGGAAAAAAACAGATTACTCCAGCAGACAAAAGATTTGATTAAGTAAGACATAAAACAAAAARCATGAATTATGAGCTTGAACTAATTCAGAAATCTAGCAATCCATAAAGAACAGAGAATACATAGACATCTTTTTAAGTACATGAAAAGTA